GGCCAGGCATTCCTCAACCCTTGGTCAGCTCAGGCTTATCTAACAGTCACTCCTCAATGCAACACAGGCAGAGGTGTACTTTCTGCAATGGGAAAGCTTTTCACTGTGGGAGGCAGACAGTGCAAAGCAGACTCCCTCCCTTCTACTGTCACCTCACCCAGACCTCTTCCGGGAGCTTGTGGCCTTACCTGATTGAGGTGCATGCGGGCACAGGGACCTGGGTTTCCCTAGGCCCAGAATGACTGGTGGACCCCTGGTTTTGCACCCTCCTGCATGCAGTGACATTAGGACCAGCTCCTCCACCAGGCACCTCCCCTGGACCTTGCTGCACCACACCAGACCCACCTCCCTCAAAACACAAGGCACTCTCAGCAGCTTCACGCAGCTATGCGCTAGATACTGTAGCTTCCAAATGACAGCCGACAATAGATGCTAAAATTCCAACAGCTGCGTTACACCCAGTCACTTCAAAGTCACACTAAAGTCACTCCCTCCTTGATCTGGGGTTTATTTTTGCTTTTTCTCCCGGCAGTCAGGATGGACCTGAGCTTCTACTCTTCATCAGGGGACAGTCCTTCCCATGACCAAGCAGAGGTGAGCCTGACCCTGAGAGAAACGAACGCTTACTTCTGGATTTTCCTCTTTCTCTTTAAAACCAAATTGTGATCGGCACGTTGAATGCCGACCTCCAGGACAAGGCACCCTGTCCGGGTTTCCTGAAGGAGAAAACCTGGGGCGTGCATCCCAGCTGGGCTGTTTCTCTCAAGGAACTTCACCCGCCCCCACCGTTTCGTGGATTCTGTCTCAACAAGTATCAGTTGGTAAAAGATGCCTGTTGTCGCCATCTTCCCATGCGCAGGGGCTGCTGGTTTCTAGTGGTCCCCGCAGGATGGAGAAAGACAAAAGGAGACCCTGAACACTCACTTTAAGGTGCATTTCTCAAGATACCACTATGGAAAGGGAGATAGCTGCCTTCCACACACTTAACGCTGCCAACATTTCTAATTACCAGCTGAACCCAAAGGTAGCACGCAGCTGCCCACCAGAACAGCCTTTCATGGGCAAGAAGGCAACCAAGGGCATGGTGTACATTTAGGAACCTCCAGGCTGATGTCAGCGTGACTGCTGCTCAGGACGGCTCTTCCTCCGGGCAGCAGCAAGGGCAGCCCTCCGCAGATTCTCACACTCCACCTGCACCAGGACATGCCATCCTCCAGCTCCTGTCCACAGCGAGGCTGGGGAGTGTTCTGCAGCCTGCTCCTTTGTCAGGGCCGAGAATCAGAAAGCTGTCAATCTAATAAATCCACAGCTTCAGCTCAGCGGTTACAATGGAGTTAATGATGACATATGAGAGGCAGGATCCTTGAGAAGGCCCCAGGCAGGAAGCTTTTAAAATCTCAGATTCATTTCTGTATTAATACGTAATGAAGCCTGTTCCATGTTTCTGTAAAACCACACAACTACTGATCATTTTCACTGGCATCACTTTCACTCTAATAGTCTGGAACTTCCATTAATTAAATGACTGCCCCATTGTTTGTTCTCAAAAAGAAAAAGCTGTCAATCTCATCTGCAGTACTTGGGTGTCCTAGGGAAACCCTCTCCAAGACATGGTCATTGTCCTTGGTCAGCCAGCAGCAGCTACATACATGAACATTACTTCCCTTCAACTGAAGGTCCCCTGGTGTTTGACTCTATAAGTTCTCTTATTATTTATTTCCTGTAATTTATATCCTTATTTTCATGGGCTTATTGCAGCACATATAATCATATAAGTGATCTCAAATCATATTAAGTAGTAACTATAAATCTTAACAAAGCAATACGAGTTTCCTAACCTGTAAGGTAAAAGCTATAGAATACCTACCTCATCGATCTGACTCAATGGTGTGATAAACACAGAAAATCTAGAACAGTACCCAGCACATAGTAGGTGCTCAACAAATGAGAGAGCTGATCAAAGGTAAGAATCACTAGCATGTTACCAATTCATGGCTGAAGCAGCATTACCAACATTACCATGGTAAGAACTTTAAATTTCATTATAATTTAGGACCTATGTGATTACAAATTGGATTAGAGCCAGTTTATAGTATCAAATAAATTATGTTTGAACTATTAAAAATAAAACCATGCATATGAAGAGACACTAGAAAGAGAAGAGGGTGAAAAGTATAATTTAGGATGCAGATGAATTAATTGCTGAAAACGAGCCCTAAATCTAGCTTTGTGCTTTCTGACAGCCAGCGCAGAAACACAATCACGTACATCTGTGCAACTCATTGTCTGATAAATAGAACGTGTAGCTCATACAGAAGCGGAATTTTTTCTCCTGACAATCCGATCTTAGGGTAGTTGCTCACACCAGTCACCCTATGATGCACATTGGGTAAGTGACAGAAGAGGTGCACCTTTGCAGCTGTGTGCAAAGGCGCACACAAGCATACCTTCCCTACAGAAATGTTTCATTTTATCAGCATTCCACAGTAAGGGACCACTGGGTGAGCAACCTGGAGACTTTCCTCACATAAGCTCAGGAACATGGAGTTAAATGGATCCACTGTATTCCGAAATACGGAACGGCTTTCAGGTTTTGTGTCTGTGAAGCAGCCGGGCCCGTGGCTTTGCTGAGAGTGTAGGTTCGTCTTGGCCGTTTCCAGCAGCCCAGGTGGCCTGGAACCAGACCCCAGTAACCAGAGCGGCCTGTGGATGGGGAGGACGCGGCTTCACCCTCCGGGGATCTGCTTCCCAACACTTGCAACTAATCAGAGAGGACAGACTTCCCTGGGAAAACTGTAATCACCCAAGGAGCCGGCAGGCCAAACGCTAGCAAGATTTACTGGCTTTGATGAACAATAAGGTGTTTGTTTTTGTAGGTAATTAGAGTTCAATAGTGAGCTATAAAGAGTCCTCCAAGAAATTCTAAACAGACTATAGCTAAAGGGTACTAAAGTGTGTCTGAATCTAACCATTGATCTTTGCAGACCTCCGGTGCAGGGAGGCCAGGGTTTGATGCAGGCGTTCCCCAATTTTTTACACAGGGGGCCAGTTCACTGTCCCTCAGACCGTTGGAGGGCCGCCACATACTGTGCTCCTCTCACTGACCACCAATGAAAGTGCAGCGGGGGGTTGGGTGGGGGGCGGATAAATGGCCTCAGGGGGCCGCAGTTTGGGGACGCCTGGATCCGTCGCACTCCAACACGTCATCAGGGAGAAAATGGCCCTCTGTTTTTCACGTCTGATGAGACAAGACCTCCATGCAGCGTGTGTGCGCCCACACGTATGGGCAAATGGCACTTAGCATGTGCCATGCTGCCGGATGCTGCCATGGCGTATTGCAGTTCATGTAACTATAGCTCAACTCACCTTATTTAAATTAACTATTCAAAGGCCCATAACGGCCCCCAGATGTCGGTAAGTGCTTGGACGTGCCTGCATTCTCATAATCACTAGGTACTGTGTGACTCTTAGGTACTATGGAATGCCGGTTGGGTCCCTTGATGGTGGGAAGATGTTTGCCAAACCCATTCCCAATTTATACTTTTTTTTTTCCCCCAGCAAATCACTCTTGGATACAGGATTTTAAGGACTCAGAGGTATTAATACAAATGCAATTGAACTTCGTTTAAAAGAGAGTATGTGCAAAGGACTGTCACCAATATTTTTAAAAATAGTGTCGAGATGAGCTAACTCCGTACTCAGAGGCAACTGCTCAGCCTGCTGCACCAGCTCCTGGGTCAGTAACACAGGATTTCCTGCCACGCCAGGAAATGCGCATAGCGTCATGTCCACTCCCTGGCCCTACTCACGTTATGGCACAACAGGCGTGGAAAAGCCAACTCCCAAAAGCGTCTACGGAACGGAGAAACTTAAGATGGGACTAGACAAACCACCACAACAAAAACAGAAAGTCAAGCCACAGATATGGCAAAGGCTTGAGGAAAACAATCGCTTTGATACTCCTTATACACTGACTTTACTCTGGTAAAAACTTGAGCTAGCAGCCGAGAACCCAGGCATCTGACTGTGCAGGTCATTAGAAAACCTTTACAGTAATTTTTTTCCTCCAAGAACTAGATCTCCATTTAATGACGTTCTATTCAATCCAATATAAACCTTTGCACTGTTTTGCATGCTCTGGCCTCCTAAATGTAATTTTCTTTTAAGCTCGTAAGCAGTCCTATCACAATCTTTCCTTCAGAGAAACATAAAACAGACACTCTAGGAAAAAGAATAACCCTCAGGCCACAGTTTTAGCGTCACCGTCATCTGACTTTCTGCCACTTGAGGCTTCCTGCAGGTTATCACGACCTGGGGCCAGCCACTCAACAACCCCTCTGACCCTCTGTTTCCTCATCTGAACCACCTCAGACTCTCCCTAAGACATCTATGGGCTCAAAGGTTCCAGGGTTATTTCATCCTAAAGGGAAGAATCACTGTGTGCAAACCGACCTTATTTAAATTGACTATTCAATGGGCCGTAACAAGCCGGCTGTTGATGAGTAATCTGACACCCTTGCATTCTCATAATCATAATGTGTGCAAAGACTATTATCCACAGCTGTTAATTCTTCAAAACTCACACACTAAATTCTACATTCAGAAAGTTGGACTTTAGAATTAGCTGAAAAAGAAATGCAAAGTCAACTGTATAAAGACACATCTCACTGTGTGAATAATAAGAGTGGATCAAAGAGCATGCTCGTGCAGGGAAGGAAGTACATCTAAATAAGGACATCCTGAGAAGAGCCTCTTCCCGCTGCTCTGTTGGCTTTAACAATGGATGTGCACATCAAGTTAACATTTCAAATCCCCAAGCCAATTGGTGCAGTAAGCTCGTGGGGTCCCTGAGGGCTGGGACCCTGGTGAACTGACCTGGGGTTACTGCAGAAGCAACAAAGGCAAGGAGCAGCACTGTTTGAGAACATAGACAAGTCAAGTGAAACATCTGCATTCAAAAAAGAACTCAAACAAACAGGACTACAGGGTCTGATACTTACTTGTGGCCCAGCTCGTGGGCGATGGTAAAGGCCAAATTGAGACCATTGTCTTCGGCAAGCACACAGTTCCTCTTAGCACTGCACACACCTCCTAAGTAAGCAATTCCTGCAGCAGAGACACAAAACACATCCTCTTCAGAACGTGGGGGGCCCTGGTCTCGCCGGGCAAGTCCACACAGTCAACGTCACACATGATCAAGACGGGCACACTGGGACAATGCTGACTGGATCCATGAGTCTCAGCCCACATGGGAAGGGTTTGTGTCTACCCGATAAAAACGGTAACCACCGCAACCATCCATGGAGCATCTACGCGTCCGGGGGTGTGCTGAGTAGTGCACCCATGGCCCCTAACTTAACCCTCACGACCGAGGATGAGGGAAACTGAGGTTTGGAGAGGAAAGGTAACTCTCCCAAGGTCACCTGGATGAGCACCCAGTGCTCTGGGATCCTCCGCCAGGTCTGTCCAACTCCAATGTCTAGGGCTGGGACTGGGTGAGGCCAGCCAGGCAAGGCACCCAGCGTGCAAAGTTTAAGAGGCCCTGGCTCTCAGGTGATGCCCCTGTACCCGCACGCCCCGAGAGGGAGCGCCCCCTCACACTGCACATCCCAGGCGTGAACCAGGACGGGATCTGCGCTGGGACTCACAGACAGCAAGTCCCGGAAGGCTGCACAGAATGTTCCAAAAAGGCTTCAGGAGCCCTTGAGAGTGGAAGACCCAGAGGGAGTGCAGCCAGGGCCTCACAGTCCTCGGTGAGGACTAGCCTGTGAGCCAAACGCCTCGTCTCCATGCACACGTGCCTGCCCCTAAGGACCTTGTCCTAAGAAAGGAAACCCGAACCACACACACCAGAAGGAACGCAACGCAGGGCCATGGAGGCTATGCCCCAAGGATAGGATGGGAGATGCTGGTGGGACAGAGGAGGGGCAGGCGTTTTTCAGGGGAGGAAGGTGGCTCTGGCTGAGGGATGCGTGGGATGACATGGGGTCCGTGGATGCCAGGCCCTCTGAGGAATGTTGGGATGGCAGCCACAGTGGGGTTGGGGAAGGCGAGCCCATGCAAGCCACACTTCCAGGGGCTGACGCTCCAAGGCTCCCCACTGCACTCTCCACGCTGCTGCTCTCCCTGCACCCAGGAAAGACATGTCTCACCCTGCAGGGACCACAGGGCTTAGCTCAACAGGGCCCCCTAGGAACCCTGACCTCTGTCCTCCCATGGGTGTCTAACCTGACGACAGCTCCGTCATATGCCACTCTGTGATGCACAAGTGGCTGGTGGCATGGGGTGGCTATAGGAGGAGCTCAGGGCTCCCCTGGCTGTGCAGTCACATTGGGTGTGGGTGGGCAGCAGCTCTGCTGGCATAGCACTGTGGGGTGAATGGAGGCTAAACCCATCTGGCCTCTGCCCACCGGCCCCATACCCTGGAGGGGGTACGGCCACCCAAGGAAGAGGCACCTGCTCTCCCCCACAGGCACGGTCCCTCTGTCAAGCTGCACGCTGCTCTGTTCCAAGGGCTCCCTCCAAGACCTGGCCTGAGGTGTCTCAGGAGGGAAAAAACTGGCAGAGGGCAGGGGAGAATGGGACAGGGGAACCATTCCATTAAAAATGAGCCCTCCTCCCTGCTCCCAAAGAGCTATACCAACATGCTCTTTGTTGATGCCCAAATCAAACTGGTGTAGAGCTCAGCCACACACAGGGTGGTCCCTCTGACGTGGTGAGGCTCTGTGTCCCCACTCAAATCTCCTCTTGAATTGTAATCCCCATGTGCAGGGAGGGACCTGCTGGGACGGGACTGGATCATGGGAACGGTTTCCCCCACGCTGCTCTTGGGATAGTGAGTTCTCATGAGAGCTGATGGTTTTAGGAGTGTTTGGCTGCTCTTCTGTCCCCCTCTCTCCTGCCGCCTTGTGAAGAAGGTACCTGCCTCCCTTTCCCCTTCAGCCATGATTGTAAGTTTACTGAGGCCTCCCCAGACACGCAGAACTGAGAGCCAATCAAACCTCTTTCCTTTATAAATTATCCAGTTTCAGGTAGTGTTTCTACAGCAGTGTGAAAATGAACCAATATAGCCTCCTTCCTCATCCTCTCCACAAGGTGCAGAGGAAGCACACACGGCCTAGCTCTGCAGAGAGGTGCGGCTCCAGGGCTCACATTCCGCACGCTGGGCCCAGGCACCTCACTGTGGGTCTATCTGGAAACAGGAAATGTGCTTAGTTAAAAATAAATAAAAGACACAGATTAAATGTTATTTGGCCTTAAGATGCTTTTGTGGCCGTGTGAATGTCTCAACCCAGCAATGCAGACTATTAAGAACAATATGACAACCAGGAAGGATGCGATGTGGCTTCTCGGTGCCTTCGAGGTCATTATTCTGGTTTTGTTTAAAGATGTTTTGTGGTTGCTTTTACAAGTCTACCAGTGAGTAGGTGGAATGCTGCTACATAGCCCCAATGGTATGTGCACACGGCCCACGTGGGTGCACGCACGCTCAGACAACACACCCAGCAGTGTCCGTCCAGCCCTGGCTGCGGCCTCTCTGGGTCAATGAATTAATTAGAAACAATCAGATGTGTGCACCCTGGAGAAGCTGCCTGGTGAGGGGGAAGGCAGACATAATAAGGCCAGATGTGCTGAGCTTGCTGTCTTGAGTGTGCTCGCCACGGGCTCTGCTACTCAACCGGCAGACCTTGACTGCCACACGCACACTTGCCCCTGGCCTCAGCCTCGCTCAGCCCTCAGAGAAGGCAGCCCTGACTTTCCACTCTAATTAGGTAACGTGCAAAGCTAGCGAAACAGGGAAGCAAGGAGCCTTCCAGTAACTGCATTTTAATCTTTCCAAGGCGCAGATGATTTTTAACTAGAAAACAAAGAATCAGTTTATTTACAAGAAATGCTCTTGCACAAAGGTGGCTGAAGGTCTAATGCTTTTCGTAATTTATTCCAATCGTGACCAGCCTGCTCATAAAAATGAGCAAGGAAAAACACATAAAAGCAAGCTGATAACCGAGTACAAGAGCTGTGTGTTTATGAGAGATGAGGTGGAAAGGCTTAGAACGCAGAAAACCAAGTCTGGAGAAAATCCCAGGTTGTTGTAAAATTAAGAGCTGCGGGGGAATAAACGGTAATTAAGCCATCCAGCTTCGGCAGAAAACAAAGCCCACCACTATTCCACGTTTCTGAAAAGAAACTGCAGTCTAGCAAGACAGAGCCCTGGAGACCCAGAGATACCCCACCGTGTGAGGCTGCAGAAGGCAGCAAGCCGGAAAAACCCACTCAATCCCCATGCTGGCACTTGTCAAGAAATGAGGAAAAACCAGTTTTCTCTGCACTGATTTATTAAAAATGGAGGTCTGTGACACAGGTCTGCTAACTTCAGTGCTGATGCTGTGGAACCTTCCGAGGGAACTGGAATCTCCTTACGCTGAGGCGAGGCTTTCAGACCCTGCAATGGTCCTTTCACTGGCTCCAGCCTTCTATGATTTAAAATTCTCCGCAGATCACAGAACTTATTTTAAAAATTTTGAAAACATCAATTCCACATGTTTGCATAGTTTCTTGGAACAAAAGGGAGGCAGAAAGGCAACTGGAATTTATTAGCTGTGCCTCTCCATGGGCAAGACTGCTCCAAACACTCAACCCTCCCTTGCTTGGCAAGTATGACTGGTCCCATTTTATAAATGGGGAAACAGAGGCTCAATAACCAGCTTCATGGTTCATCAGCACCCAGACCGGGACACAAATGCAGGGCTCCCTGCCTGCAACCCTCATGTTCCTCTAGGCAAACCCTGGGCCTCCCTCACCAAAGTTCTGATAACCAACAACAATGAATAATCTTCTAGGATTTGGAAGATTTTCATAAATCCTAATTCGTGCATACGTAGAGACGTACGTGGAGTCGAGTGAAGGTTTTATACATTTGGGTCCAAATGTTTTTAAGTTTAAACACTTCAAGTGAGAGAATTAGAAATCTTTTAAATTTTCCTCTTTTTTTGGCTTAAATCAAATACAATTAACACACATATTGCTATGAAAATTAAAGTTATTGATTATCGTTCATTTATTCAAGGTGATCTACAGCAGAAGTGGGAGACTCCTCTAAAATGAAACCACAAACAAAACCCCTCTGTATTTTAATGCTGAGTGTGCAGCGCCTTCGGGCAGCAGATGCTGTAGGATGTTCACAGTGGACAGGCACATAGCTGAGTGTGTGCCTGTGCCCTCAGTGGTGGCTCAATCCAACTCTGCCACACCCCTGGCACTGATTAGGGAAACAAAACACACTCTTAAAAAAAAATCTGAAACACAGAAGGTAACAGTGAAGGGGTGTGGGCCAGGCACAGTGGCTCGCTCATGCCTGTAATCCTAGCCCTTTGGGAGACTGAGCTGGGAGGATCGCCTGAGGTCAGAAGTTCAAGACCAGCCTGGCCAATATGGTGAAACCCCATTTCTACTAAAAACACAAAATTAGTAGGGCATGGTGGCAGGTGCCTATGGTCCCAGCTACTCGGGAGGCTGAGGCAGGAGAATCACTTGAACCCAGGAGGTAGAGGCTGCAGTGAGCCAAGATCCATCACTGCACTCCAGCCCAGGTGACAAAGCAAGACTCTGTCTCCAAAAAGAAAAAAAAATGAAGGGGTGTAATGAGTTCTTCTGACACTTGGAGAAGCTCATTTAATTTATCCAGAGAAGGGGCTCCCATCCACCTAGCTCTGTGACCCATGTTCCCAGCATGCCGATACAACACAGGCACTCATTTGTCTCCTTTCTTTCCCTTTTCTCAGTAGAAGCATAATTTTGCAGACAATATTGGGTGAAGAGGCTTAACTAGAGCCTTTTTCAGTAGAAAACTACATGACATAAGCTCGTAACTCTCTATCTCTGGGATGATCACTTGACCGTCTCTAGATTTAAGGAATAAACCAAACCACACAAAACTGTGTAAACTCTGGTTGATGTAGAAAGTTGTTGCATGTAAGCCGTCTGCAGCTGGTGGTCTTGCTGCCCATTAGTCCGACCTTACAAGGTCTGCCTTTGAGAGAGATGACTCAGTTTTTCTCACCAACTGCTCAACTACCCAACACTGTCACAGTTATTGCTGGGATGCT